GATTTGGTTGCATCAATCAATGCTCTCATTATGCCATTGGCTCCATATCTCATTGTCTCCAATGACTCAACCTTCCAACTGAATCATGATCACATATATTATTGAATACACTCCTTATGCCTTTGGGACACTCACTGTCTTGTTTCCTTTATACTAGCCTCTTTGGTTTTATTTTAGTTTTTAGACTCTTGCATTAGCTAGATCTATAGTCTATAGTGTGTTTGTAAAATTATTATTAAAAAAGTATTTTATTATGATTTAAGCTGCCATAATGTGAGCAATTGTTGTAAGTATACAATATAGTTGCAAAATTGTTGTTATTGTTTATGTCACCAGTTGATGATGTCATAAATTTCTTTTATCTTATAAGGAAAGTAGTTTGATAGCAATGATGAGAGAAGTAGTGCTAGTCTTTGTTTTATGTGTTCTGTCACTATCAGTTGTTGTAAAAAAACTCTTGTTAACTCTCTTTCTCCTCCTTTATTTGTGTGAGTATTTATCACTAATCACCTCAACTTGTGAAATCCAAGGGTAGTAGTTGGTATAGTTAGTATATCCAACAGGTTCTTTGGAACACTATTCTGTTACTATTTTTAGCAACTAAGAGTTGCACTTTATCATTGTGTTTATTTTTAGGTTTTTGTGACAATCTAGAATTATTCTCTAGTGAACTAAAGATGTCTTGCTTCTTTTTGGAACTTTTTGTACTATTTTAACCATCACTCAATAATATTCATATTATTATACTTCCTTATCAGCACTCTGGTGCTTCCCCATACCTGCTTGTCTATATAACCATGCCTCTACTGTGGTCATTCCTTATAATCAGTGCATTCCCTCCTTAGCATGTTAATCTATAGTAGGCCACAACTGAATTGACTTCTCTTCAGTCACTCTCTCTATAAATTGACCTGTGTATTTTATTACTTAAAAGCAGGCCAACTTCTGCCATGAAGACATGGTTGCTAGTATCACTGCTCCTGCTGTTAGTGCTTGTCCCTAATGCCATAGCTTTCTCTAATCCTACAAGAAATGGTGATGATGTTACCCTTCCTCCTTGCAATTTTCCTAATGGTATCTATTATCAAAATGGTCCCAACCCTGGCACACCCGTGGCTCCAGTTAACCAAAACTATACCTTGACCATCAATGGATCTACTGAGGGTCGATATACGTGTGGTCCCAGTGGTTCTGGTGGACAAATAACACTCCTCCGTAAGTCAGTCACAAGCAGGTTTTATGCATACTATAATATTTCATCATCATTTTAGGTCAATTTAAAGAAAACAAGACTTTAGTACCTAAAACCTTTACTTGGGGACAACGTCAGGTTCTTGACTGTACTGGCTATGTACCTGGAAACTTTCACCGTGGCTATAAAGTTACATGGTTGCTAGATGGCCGTCAGCCATGTATTAAAAATTCTGCCTGTGAAGACAATAGCTTCAACATAAACTCCAATAATTTCAGTTTAAGTTTTGATTATTATCCAACTTTCACCACCTATGAATGTCAAATTGAATCAGATGAGGATACGTCTTTAACAACTGTCACTGTAGCATCCTACACATTGAGTCCTTCAAATAATGATCAAAGTATGTCTCATTAGTAACCTTAACAATTTATTATCATTATGATTCTCTCCTTTTATAGCTCAAACTAAATTTATCAAAAAATTGAAGCCAGTTTTAGTTGAGAATGACATGAATAAAGTTGAATTCTCCTGCTCTGCTTCAGTACAAAGCAATGCTAGCATTAATTTTAATGTATCTGACCTGTTTGGCAATAACTCTATCAGCCCTGCTGATTGTGATGTAACTACCACTGACAACCCAACCATTCGTATGTGTTCTAAGACATTACTAGGCATGAATGTCAAGATAATGTGTAACTATTCTACCAGCTACGAGATCCATTGTACTTTCTCATGGAATTTAACAAACAGCATTGAAAGTAGAGTTTATTCAGTTGCTTGCCATGTCAATGATGGTACAACTAAGAATAGTACAAGAACAGAACTTATTGTCAGAGGTAAGATCTAATAATCTTGATAATTTACAACTAACATTTACTAAGAATGTATTCCTACATGTATACCATAAGCTATAGTAGTTGCATGTACATGTACATTAGTATGTAGACTCTATGTACACATGAGTAAATGACCTGTATGCACATGCATGATAAGGGAGTGAGTGAATCCCAACAAATCAATTTCTGTGAGCTAGGGGGAATTTTTTGTACTACCAAGTCTCACTCTAATTCAATAATGAGAGAATCACAGGGAGGACAAGCAAAGGAATGCTATCAGTATCAATTTGTATCTTGTGTTACATTCAAAACAGTATGGTTTCCTAGGGCTTTTTATTTCAATAGTAAAATTACTGCTTTGCTTGTTCCTATTTTATCTGATTCCACAGATTTCTCTAATCCTACAAGACACGGTAATGAGGTTACCCTTTCTCTTTGCAGTTTTCCTGATGGTATATATTATCAAAATGGTCCCAACCCTAACTTACTGGTGGCCCCAATTAATCAAAGCTATACCCTGACCGTCAATGGATCTACTGAAGGTCGATACAGATGTGGTTCCAGTGGTATTGGTAGAACAATAATAGTCCTCCGTAAGTCAAGCAGGTTTTATGCATACTACCATATACCGGCTTATTTTCACGAATCTTTGCATTTTAAAGATTTTGCAGAATTAATTTTTGCGAATTGCTTGCAGCATAGATATAGTCTACAAACACATTATTGTGTTTGTGTATCTATGCTATGCTTGCAGACAGCACCACGTGGCAATGGAGAGCAGAATTTTGCATTGAAAAATTTTTGCAAATGATCACCAAACCACAAAATTCGCAAAAATATCTTACCACAAAAATAAACCAGTATATGGTATAATATTTTATCATCATTTTAGGTCAATTTAAAGAAAACAATACTTTAGTACCTAAAACTTTAACTTGGGGACAACGTCAGGTTCTTGACTGTACTGGCTATGTACCTGGAAACTATCACAAAGGCTATAAAGTTGCATGGTTACTAGATGGCCGTCAAAGATGTATTAAAGGCTCTGCCTGTGAAGCCAATAACTTCAACATAAACCCCGATAATTTCAGTTTAAGTTTTGATTATTACCCAACTTTCACCACCTATGAATGTCAAATTGAATCAGATGAGGATACGTCTTTGATAATTGTCACTGTAGCATCCTACACATTGAGTCCTTCAAATAATAATAGCAGTAAGTCTCATTAGTAACCTTAACAATTTATTATTATTATTATGATTCTCTTTTTTTATAGCTCAAACTAAATTTATCAAAAACTTAAAGCCAGTTCTAGTTGAGAATGGCATGAATAAAGTTGAATTCTCCTGCTCTACTTCAGTACAAAGAAATGCTAGCATTTATTTTGAAGTATCTGACCTGTTTGGCAATAACTCTATCAGCCCTGCTGACTGTGATGTGACGACCACCACTGACAACCCAACCATTCGTTCATGTAGTAAAACATTACATGGTATGAATGTCATGATAATGTGTAGCTATTCTACCAGCTACGAGATCCATTGTACTTTCTCATGGAATTTAGTAAACATCACTCAAAGTAGAGTCTATCCAGTTGCTTGCCATGTCAATGATGGTACAACTAAGAATAGTACAAGAACAGAACTCATTGTTGGAGGTAAGATCTAATAATCTTGATAATTTACAACTAACAATTACCAAGAATGTACTCCTACATGTATATACTGTATAGTGAGAAATTTTGGAGAGGGATTAAATTTGGTGAATCTGGCGTTTTGATAGCCATTCACCAAAATAAAAATCCACCATTTTAATCCATTATATGCATGCTCAATGGCATGTGGCCACAAATTTGCCAAATTAAAATTCACCAATCACCAAAATTTAGCAATTTGCCAAATTTTAGCCCCTCCAAAATTTCCTGCTTTATGATATAACATTATTTATAGCAGTTATTTACATGTTACACATTATTTATAGTACATGTCATGTATGTATGCATGAGTATATGACTTGTATGTACATGTATGATGCTATTGAATCTGTGGTAATGTAAAAGTGCATCTGTGTATGTTAAGGGATTGAGCTAGGGAGAATTTTTTGTACTACTAATTTACTAAAGCCCACTCTAATTCAATAAGCTTGCCAGAGAGATCAAGAGTGAGAGAATCACAGTGAGGACAAAAGCCAATGTGTACTATAATGATTTTTAAAGCACTATTAATTGTGAATTTTAGCTGAGCCTTTCAGTGTTCTCAGAAGCGGAAATAATGTTACCCTCACTGGTTGCTTTTACAAGATATACCATAATGGCATAGAATTGTCTGAAATCAATCAAAATTATACTGTGATAGTCACCAATATTACTGAAGGTGTATATAACTGTGGAACTGATACTATTAATAATCTTCTTGGCAGTAAAACAGTCCTCCGTAAGTCACAAACAGTTTATTACAGTTTTTTAATTTCATCATGATTTTTAGGTCAATTTTTACAAAATGATACTATAGTACCTAAAACCTTTACTTGGGGACAACGTCAGGTTCTTGACTGTACTGGCTATGTAGCTGGAAACTATCACGAAGGCTATAAAGTTGCATGGTTGCTAGATGGTCTTCAAAAATATATTAGATCTAACGGCTCTTTTGACAATAACTTTAACTTAAATCCTGATAATTTCAGTTTAAGTTTTGATTATTACCCAACTTTCACCACCTATGAATGTCAAATTGAATCAGATGAGGATACGTCTTTGACAACTGTCACTGTAGCATCCTACACATTAAGTCCTTCACATAATGATCAAAGTATGTCTCATTAGTAACCTTAACAATTTATTATTATTATGATTCTCTTCTTTTATAGCTCAAACTAAATTTATCAAAAACTTGAAGCCAGTTCTAGTCGAGAATGGCATGAATAAAGTTGAATTCTCCTGCTCTGCTTCAGTACAAAGCAATACTACCATTAATTTTGAAGTATCTGACCAGTTTGGCAATGAGTTTATCAGCTCTGCTGACTGTAATATAACCACTGACAACCCAACCACTCGTATGTGCATTAAGACAATACCTATACTTGACATAAATGTCATTATGATAATGTGTGACTATTCTACCAGCTATGAGATCCATTGTACTTTCTCATGGAATTTAGCAAACAGTAATGCAAGAAAAGTCTATTCAGTTGCTTGCCATGTCAATGATGGTACAACTGAGGTTATTACAAGAACAGAACTCATTGTCAGAGGTAAGATCTAATAATCTTGATAATTAACAACTAACATTTAATTTACTAAGAATGTATCTCTACATGTATATATAACATATTATCTATAGTAGTTGCACATTAGCATGTATGTATGTATGCATGAGTAAATGACCTGTATGTACATGTATGATGTTATTGAATCTGTGGTAATGTTAAAAGTGAGATGATGCTTACAACTTATTGGGCGTGGTCATGAAAATATTGAAATCTAGTATTAATATCAATGATATTCATAAATATATCGATAATATTATTGTATCATTTTAAAATTTTCAATATTGCCCAGCACTAGCACATGTTGTCAGTTTGCAGCCATGGCCAAGCGCCCTCATATCTAAATTAGACTATGAAGAATGCAATTTAATACTTCAGTAGTAACAATGTAGGGCAAATTAGTTTTGAAATCATACATGTAAAACAATTATTATTTTTCTTTGTTTTGGCAAAGCCAATGCACCAATTATGTCTCGTTTGTTATTTAGGATGTAACAATCCTTGTAATTCTGAATGTACTGGAGGAGATGATTGTTGTTTATCATTTACTCCTAATAGTCAGTGTATTACTAGGACTGACTGTACATCATCAGGTCCTAACTATGTTGCTACTGAGAGTAATAGCTTCACTTGCAGTAAGTATTACCATTGCTATTATTATTATGATTATTATTGTTATTATTATTCTGTTTTATTATTAGCTTGTAACTCAACCTGTTCTGATGGTTATACTGTTAATTCTAATTGTACTGACTGTGATTTCACTAGTATCTGTAGTAGAGACAGTCCATGTATGAATGGACGACAGTGTATACAGTATTCACCTCATTATACTTGTGATTGTACTCGTACTGGGTACCAGAGAGTCAACTGTACTGGTGAGTAACTGGCTGCAATCTGTACTATTTGAATCATTTGATTGTTTTTACACAACAGCAGAAGAATGCTATCAGTATCAATTTGTATCTTGTGTTACATTCAAAATATAGTGTTTTCCTGGGGCTTTTTGTCTCAATAGTAAAATTGCTGTTTTGCTTATTGATTTTCTCTTATCAACAGACTCGATTTTTTCCCCATCACCCCTTCCCCTCATCTGTTGCAAGTTCATATCTTACTCCTTTTACTCCCCCTCCCTTACCAATTTCATGTATTGTTACTAACTGTGACAATTGTCAAAACTCATCTTGTTGTAAAACATCCATATGAAAAGAATTTTAACTAGACGAAGTAAAACATTAAAGGGCGAGCCCAAGCAAGCAAAGCCTAATACACAGCAGATCTTGATTTCAAATGATACTCATGCATGATTGTGTAGAGCATTGTGTAGTGGATGGAACAATGATAAGAAACCATGAAAATATTTTATCTCTGCTGTCTTAAGCTGGAGAAGTGTTTGGTCAACAGTTATTATTGTATATAAACATGTCTCTTTTCTTCCTTATCCTATAGATTCTTCTTCAGTGACAAATCTACCCTCAACTGAAACTCCTCAGTTACTATCATTGACACTAATGATTGTAGCTCCTGTTGTATTTGTGCTAGTACTCTGTGTTTGTATTATCATAGTATTTGTGATTGTGATAATTGTTAGGAGGAACAGAAAGAAGAAACT